TTCGAACTGACTTAAACACGATATTACCAACCGTCTGACTGCACATTTATTCCGGACGCTGGGACCGCCTTCGCGCGTATGACAATTTATTTTAATAAAATATTGTTAAATACCGGAATAATAACGGGTAGGTAGGTAGGTGGGTAAAAAGAAACGCGTAAATGGAAGACAAAGAAATGAAAACAATTTTTTTTATTATCATTCACTGCCAGTTGTGCTACAGTTGTTCAGTTGTTAACACGGTTGAAAAGAGATGGAATTACAGGATTTCGCGAGGAAAGAAATCTCGGAATGTCAAATACATTCATTTTTTTTTTCTATAAAAGTCTACACTTAACGTAAAGAAAAAAAAAAATTCTCGTACTGAATAAATTATACCTAACGTAATATTATTCGGAATGTACAAAAATAGCTTATCCGATTTACTTTTATATTTTGTTATTTTATAAAAAATAAAGTCTGTATAATACATCCACGTAATAATAAGTAACCAAATTTAAAAAGGATAACTATATTTGTTGTTTTTTTTTTTTTTTAAGTACATGCCGTACTGTTAGGTTCTGCGTCAGACTTAAACTAACGAACAGTAACTGTTATAGAAAATTCAATGATCTATTATAATATTTTATAAAAAAAAAAAAAAATAAAGATAAAATAAACAGAGAATGTGAGTAGAAGTTTGTGTGTGCACGATTGATAATTGTTTAGATTTCGTTTGTAAACTATTAAAATAGGAGATTTTACTACTTATGGATGTACCACTGTTATAGGTAGGGACGATCAATCATTGCTACGAAATAAGATTTGATATATTTTCAAATGCCATGATTTTTACGGTTTTAATTAAAAATTTAGTTTAAAACACCTATAAAAAAAAAAAAAAAATTGAGTTATTCACTAAGCTCAATTTTTGATTATACGACTAAAAACAACTAAAGACGAATGTTGTATTCTAACAATCTTGCAATCTATTGTTGACCATTTTGCTGGGTCAAAACACATAAAACCAATTAAAAATCACGAATATTTCAAAAAGCTTTAAATAACTAAAAAATCATTAGGTTTTTATATTATGTCTAGAAAATGGTAATATTAATTTTCTGAGAAAATTCCACACTTTTACGATTATTTCTTACTAAATTAAAAAAAATAATACAATTTCTAAAATAACAGCGGTATTATATCGCCTACCTAAATATTACTGTTATTTCTATTTTTACCCCCCAGTTAATCCACTAATGACGAATCTGCAAGAAAACTAATGAAATCAACCCCCCAACGCAACAACTAGATGAAACTTTACACCAGAAAAACCTAATAATGAACCGTGAATGTTGACGATTAGAACTAAATTTCTGGTAGACAAGTTTTGAACCTAAAAATATAAAAAATCGTTTGGTGATTGTACGAATGTGATTGTTCGTCTGCCAGTCCCTTGTCAGCAGACAAACTTTATAAGAGTCGACGGTGTTACACTTTGACAACAAAAACTATGACGAGAGTTTTCGAGATTTGTGTGTTGTGTCGATTTAGAACGATGAAAATCCGAGTTCAATACAAAACTTTTGCTTACGTACTGACAATTTCACTCAGAATATGCTATAGTATAAATAAATTATAGGTCAAGTGAGATCATTTATTGTGAGTGGAAACAAAATTCATGGAAATCAATGTTTCAGTGATAATCAATGGCACAACCAGGATTTATTTTCAGAGGATTGGTTATAAATTTCAAAAAGTTGTAACTACTTATAGATAAGCAACGGTTGCAGGTCGATTGTTGGGCTGGAATAGGATATATAGGGTAATTTAGTCTGCAGCATTTTGGTATATTGTGTGGTCTGTCTGTAACGATACACCATTACCGACGAAAATTGATTCCCCGTGGAATAATATTAGTCTTTTTTTCCCCCTTTTCGCCAAGATATTGGTAACCTAGAAATTAATACAAATTGTACAAACGATTTTGAGTTTTTCCTATTATAAAAAAAATACGAAGAAAATCGAAGTATATTCTCATCAGTGAATTAATTAGATCCAAGATTCTATAATTAGATTCCTAGAAAATGTGTGTGTGTGATTAAAGCAAGATTCCTTTTAGAAAATTTGTTTACTGTGAAAAAAATAAATACAATATAAAACCAACACAGTCCACGCTTCACTCAGACCTATAATATTGTCTATCAAATATATTTAATGATAAATATTATTTTAGTTCATAACTAACCTATATATTGTTATGTATAAGTGAAAACTGCGTTGTATATTGTTTTTTTTTTTTGGACTCATTTAGCTTCTCAAATTCACCCTATAATAATAATACTCGTATATTATAATATATTGTTTTTGTTTTTGTTTTTTTTTTTTGTTTCGTTTTTTTAAAAAGTACCCCCTCGTCGTCGTTTTTAATGAGCATCAATTTTCCACCAAGACAAAAAGCCGGCTAATTAATCAAAACAAATTATTGTCCTTGGTCCGCGGGATTCACGTTTAATAAGAGTTCCGTTTACCGTTTCTAATTTTTTCCATTTACTTAGTCCTCCACTTTTGTTCCTTCTGTTTTCAAGACACCCGTACATGCACGCGTACAATACAGAATGATACAAAGACGTGGTGTTCCACATCCTTCTTTCATTTACAATTTCTGTTAGGAGTGTACTTTACTATACTTTTTCTTTCTTATTATACGCACACGCACCCGAGCCTTTATTATATATTTATTTATTTATACTCGGCAAGCTTTCTACTAGCTCAAACAATTTTAATTTATATACGGTGGTAGCGGCAGAAAGTTGGTATGCCGCGATCCTTATATAGAAGTTTAAAGAGCGCATATAATAATAATAATAATAATAATAATAATAAGAATAATAATATTATAAAATGGGCGCATACAAAAATGTGTACACGGTGTGGTTAACACGAAGTTCATGATGATAACCATTATATTATACGCTTATATACCGCGTAAAATAGGACAATTATTATGTATTTCATTTAATTTTTTAAAAACGTACGCTTTTGTGCAGGCCAACTGGAAATAAAATCATTATAATAATATGATTACGTTTTATCTCGAATCATGAAATAAATGCCTGATACTGCTTGTGGATGTGCCACTGTATTGTATTTGGAAGAGTGAGATAGAAGGATGCATATAGAATGATTTTATTTATACCCATAGACTTTAATCCACGATGAATACCAACGAAAAGCTATTCTGACCCGAAGTTCAGTTAAACATGATATTTAGACAGTTGCAGAGTAATAATTTTTTATTTATGTTGGCCAGCCTGTGACCGGTAATCTACGGATAGATAGAATTGCATATTATATTTATATTTGGCGCTTTATACTCCTCTTTCAAACAAATATATATCTATATATATATATATATATTTATATATATATATATTTATCAACGATAAACCATTGCTAATGAAAAAACGATTCTGATAAGAGTTCAGTTGATAGGGATTTGGAAAAAAGTTGTATAGATCACCACCCTCGTTTACAAAACAAACTCCCACACAACACTCTTAATTAATAGTCCACACTCATTACGTACCAATTCAATACAAGATATGGCTCAGGTACCTATCATGGATTTATCACCACCCGACTTTTAAAAGAAGACTGGCTACCACCACCCTTCATTGCTGGTTTCAGCGTCACTGCACATCTGCAATTGAAATATTTTTGACTGTATCACAATACTTAAATACTATCTATACTATACTCGGAAATAGTGTTGCTTGTCATCAGTTATCAGTGAATAAATTTTCAGAATAGGATCAACAGTTTCATTGATTATCTCCTATAAATTTACAACTCTATTTCTTTACAAAATTAATTTATAATTGAAATTCTAGAAAAGTAAATGTTTTCTCTTCTGTTTGCTTTCATTCAAGTATCATGATTTCATATTAAATAGGTACTCGTATAATTTGTATGTTTGTGTATTTAAGTAAATACCAAATGTTATTCAATTAACAATTACACTTATAATTTATAATTATTAATTAATTACCTTATTTATATTTAGTCATTGACCATGATTAACGGAACCTAAAAAATTGGATGGAATTATCTATGATATTAAATATAATTTTAAATAATACATAAAATTTTACATGATATTTTATCTTATTAGTATCAGAATTTTTTTCAGAGGTCTAGGGATGCAATCATATTTCAATCAGGAGTAAAATTCTTACTTAGGTGCACCTCTGTCATTATATAATTTTTAAGAGCCTGTAATAAAGGGGCGATTATCTATGAACATCCGAGCTAATTTTTTAGCCCAGTCCACCCCCTGCTTACGGACACAAAAACCGCTCACATTCCTCATACTAAAGTTAATTCATTCCTCGCTACACTGAGAATTTAAAATTTGTTCTACGTAAAATAATAAACTATGTATTTAATACATTATAGATACCTGATCTAATCACTTAATTTTACATTAAAAGTGAGAATGCATTTTCAATTATTATTAAATAGGTCTTATAATAAATCATTATGTGAAATTTTATCACTATGATGTTTTTTAATGATGCACGTTTGATAATTTTAACTATCATAGTTATTATTTTCTTTTTTCTTTTTTTTTTTTATCGTGAAGAATATTATTTTTTTTTAACATAATAACATAATATAATATTATGATAATCATTTCTGTAGTTGGTCGTTAAATAAAATTTAACTTAATTACACATTTTTTATACACAATATATTTTAATAAGATAAATGTTAATTTCTATAAAAATATAATAATTATACATATAAATAAAAGGAAGTATAATAGTATTGGTTTAGACGAGTAATTTAAAACCACTTTATTAATATGTTCACGTTCCGAGCTGTTAGACGATTAGATATTATAATACGTAATAAACGTTGAACGTTGCCTTTCACAAAAAAAAAAAAAAAAAAAATGATAAAAACTGTTTGTTACAATAAATTATATACAATCTAAAAATTCTATTAGTCGAATTTCAGATGGAATACTGTACTATACCTAATAGCTTGTTTTTGGTGGTTTTTTTTTTTTTATACTATTTAGTCGAAACGATAAAGTATTCTTTAGTTGACTCAATACAGAAATAAAATTAGATCGTATAAAAATTATTTGTATTTAATTTTATGATTTAACGGAAATAATAGAACGCCATGATGATTTATTACCACAGGTTAATGTTTTTTGCGGGCTTATGTGTATCACTATGTTTAATAATATGTACCACGGTGTGGGCTGCAAACGACGAAAAAATATACAGGTAATTGTAACTGCATAGAAATAGGCCAATACTGCTGATAGGTGTTAAACTGATTTAGAAAGGAAGGTGAAAGTGAGGATATTATAAGGATTTATTTGATTGAAGGAATATTTCTAGTAGAAAATTTGTTTATAGATACACACATGCAAAAAACGCATCATATTAAATCTAATAAATGTCTCGCTTCGTTCAGAATCTAAAATACGACATTTTGTTACTTATACGACACTGTTAGGATATCAGTTTATTCGCTAAAATACATGAATTTCGTGGTTATAATAAAATCTATGTGATTTCAAATTAAACATACGTACATAAATAAATACATTTTTTTTTTTAGTATGTCATTGACGAGACAACAATCGCAACTGGAAATGTTGATTAAAGATCCGAATTATAAGAACAAGTTGAAACAAATAGAAAAACGTCGACCGAAGAACGAAAATGTAACATTATTTAAGTATTTGGATGTAAGTTGTAATAAATTACAGGTAGTTTTGTATACATTTTAATTATAATACGAATTGACGTGATACATATAGTTCATAATTTTTAAAACACTTTATTTGATTATATTATAACTTGTTCAGTAGTTAGCGCAGATGGGGACGTTAGGAATGAAATGACCTCTTATTTAATTTTTAATAGAACAACTAAGAGTGTGTATTTATTAAATCTTGAAATGCATATAATTAAGAATTAGTCAAAATACAATTTACAAAGGAAAGTTCAATCTATTAATTAAAAATTGTTTTTTTGTGTACGTTTTTTAAATTCCGATTGTACGGTTGTGTAAAACAGAAGATTCTACTATTTATTTATTAATGTATGATTAATAATTGCTACATACACTCTCATTGAAAATGCTTGGGCACGCCACTGATCTGGCGATATTTTATTCAGTTCCTAAATTCGAGATAGTTAATACGCGAGACGAATAATTTTGGTTTTATCCCTACGATGAGCTTAGTAACTCTGGATTTAACTAATTTAACGCAAACAAACAAATAAATCGTACCTATTTGTTTGAATTTAATTTTTGTGAAAGAAAATGATAAACGGTTTTAATAACAATGCATACAATTAATATTAGTCATTTTACAACAGTAAAGATATATTACAATATTATTATGGATGGTTCAAATTGTAAAATGTTTTAAACATTGTAGTTACCACTCCTTTTTGATAGATATTTCATTTGTTTTAGATTCTGAGCGGAGCGAGGAATGTATTGGTTTTACAATGATTTTTATTATTTTTTTTTTTTTTTTATATTCACTCGTATACTGTGCACAAACATTCTGTCAGAAATATTACACCAATAAATCAAGTGCATTAATTTTTCAGAAAAATGAATTTTATCTAGTTTGTTACATTAGGGAGGTAATTTTTTGATTTTCATAATAATTGGCAAAACCGGGATAAAACGCAGAAAAAACAGGAAAGCTTACGAAAATAAAACTTTTGTTATTTTCAAATTTTGTTTTATGGTTGTAATTAAGTTCAAAACGTTCATACATATTTATAATTTGCACAGAAATCGTTTGCCTTTTCTAGACACGGTGAAATTTTTAAAACATTTGTCCTTATATTTGAGCTATTTATAGACATTTAAATTTTGCGAGTGTTTTACATAATTTTTATTCGGCAAGTACTCTGTGGATAAAACTGTTAGACCAAACATGAATGCTTGCAAATTTAATAGGAGGTTCGTTAAAGTTGTACTTAGTGTTCAACAAGAAAAAGTTGAGTTTATCATAGTACATTTTTTTTTTATTTATATGTATATAAGAATTTGAATATCAAATTTTGACGAATATCGTAAATATTACAGCCTTTTAAATCGTGTATAACCATACTTCACTCGGAACTGTTGTAACGATTAATCGTTGTGTACAAAATTACATTAAATGTGTCTTTATATCCTACCTACCCAACTTCTCATCTACAAGAGTGGCCCACCCATCGTGCGAGGTAATTTATTTTTTATAATATTAAATTCTATTGTGTATTAGACCGAATACTACGCCGTGGTTGACGTTGGCAAGCCCGCACAGAAATTCAAAGTGATTTTCGACACGACCCGCGGTGATATGTGGATACCGTCGAAATTGTGTTCGAAAATAATGTATCCGATTTGTGGTAAGCCGTTATCATGATTTACAATTTTATTGTATTTGATTGCAATAGTAATATTATAACGTCGTTGATAACAATAATGTGTCAAAGGGAAGAAAAACCTGTACGACGCGAGCATATCGTCGACGCACAAGACGATCGATCCGCCGCGACCGTTTGACGTTGCGGGATTAGTAGGAACTTTGACATGCGACACCGTCCGGGTAATTATTATGATTAAAAACGTTTCAAAATCCACGCGAATGTCCGATACCGTTTCAAGTCGTGTGATGTTAGATGATAATATATAGTTAGGCGCGTTTGTTTATTTAAAGATTCGAAATAAAACGACAAAGCACGATTGCGATTATACGGAAACGGACTGTAATACAGGTATATTTCAATGATAACGGAACTGTAAACCGTTATTATACGGTTTATAATTTTGCTGTCACGACTATTATTATTATTATTATTATTATTTTCCTTCGCGTCCTCCGCGCTACCGCAAACTAAAACATGATAAATTACGCTGTACGTTAACTCGATATTCAATAGAAAATAAAAACATGTAAACACACGGAGTGGTATATTTATCGTGAACTAACGGTTTTTCGCCGATAATTTTTTTTTTTTTTTTTTTTTGTGTTATTTGTTTTCCAATAATTATAAAATCGATCGAGCCGACTCACTATATAGCCTACCTTAAACGAGTATAAACTTATGGTTTTCCATTTAATCGCAGATTCGAATATACAGAGAATATTTTTCAAAAACATTTTTGTAGGCAAAACATTAATATTGAATTGACCGTTTATGAGTTACAGCAGTTTGAAATTAAGCCTGAAATACTATGAATAGGTAATAATAGACTTTATCATATCCATTTTTATGCGATACAAAATTGATAGCGATTCTCTACTCTTTCGGTGAAACCCTAAACAAACGTGTAGACAGTCAACACGACATTATACAGCGTTTTGCATATCGACTTTTCGAAACAAATTTGCGATCTATAAGAATCTCTATTTAAAATATTGGTTCCTGTTTGAAGAGTATGTGTATTCATTAATGGCGAAAATAACTGAGGGTAAAAAATTGAAAATAGTTTTAAATTAAAACGATTCTATAAGGATTGAAATCAAATTTAGTTCAAATACAGCGAAAAAACCCCGGGTTCGTGATAAATTAATCACCACGTACAATATTATTTTTAAGTATTTATTTTTTCATCGGGTAATACATCAAACCTTTTGTGTTCACTGTTCACATAAAAAAAAATTTGTATTTACAGTTGGCTCACTTGAACGTGTCCGACTTAATATTTGCCGAGGTCAGAGAAATTCCGAATATCACGGATTATGATACCATGTACGCCGACGGAGTAATCGGTTTGGGGTATAATTCATTATCCAAAACTACGGACGAACCATTTTTCTACAAACTTCTCGCCCAAAAAAAAATCGAAAAACCAATTTTTTCGTTTTTTTTAAACCGGTAAGTACATTTCAACACGATTTCACTATTCAAATTTCTCACTGTATTATATTATAATGGTTCATATTTACTATTCACCGTGTCTTGTAAGAAATCTTTTTATTTTGTATATTTTTATTTTCAGTGCTAAAAAAATATTTACAATAATCTAATATTGTTTTTCGACAAGTATTTAAATAATAATAAAATACACGAGACTCTGTATTGAGACTCTAATATATATATACTCTTAACGTATGCTTTACGTAGGTACAACACTGACACAGCACCACAACGCGGTGATTTATGGAATTTATCGATTTAAAAAAAAAAATACTTTCAGTAAATACATTAAATACCGATACATTAACAAAAATAACTAGTAGGAAGGTACTTTAAATATAAATTCCGCTTACACGTTTTTATTTAAGTTTTTTTTTTTTTTTTCATCGACCCTCATCAACTAGGTCGACAAGTTTGTTTTGCGAGCTTTTTTTAATGATGAATATAATGATAAATAAATTATGTTCGCATAATATAGGTTTGATAGTATATTTTTAATAAATTTACATTTTTTTTTTTTTTTTTTTTTTTTTTAAATAAAAAAATTATACTTCCTACGTGAGTTATAAACGTATACAAAATATAGAATAGACATAAGTTGCTTAAATCCTACAATATTTTTGAAATCTAGATAGGAAAAATTTGCTGATTATTTATCTTTGTCTAAAGATAATTATTACAGTAATAATTTGCAAAAACTATAGAATAATAATTATAATATTGTATATTATACAAGGTGATTTTATTTTTTTTTTTTATTGTATTTCAGCAATTATCTACGAAAATTTTAAGTAAAATTGATTTTGTTTTTTTTCCTTATCCCTCCTCTTTTTCAAACCAAATTCGAACAGAGAATATTTTACTAAAATATATAATATTTTATAGAAAACAGTTGTTATCTAAAAACGGATAGGCAATTTACTATCCTATTTTGGCTACTTATTTTTCCTAAATGGGTTTAACTGTGTTAACTGGGTTAACTGTTAACTAATTCATAAACGATATATCCTTGCAAAGTAGTTAGCTCACAAAAAAATGTGTGTTTCTAAGAACCCATCTATCCACCTTCGTATGATATATAAGAATTTAAATTTAATAGACAATTATAAAACATTAAAACAGGAAAAAAATCAATCCCATAATATTATGTTATAAGCAAACCTAATAAATTACCACCAATTCATGTTCTCAACTGTCTCACCTACCCGTCCACTAAATGTTTCAGAATCAATACGTGGATCATAGGATAGCCATTGTCCTTGCATATTAGTGGTATGCATAAATACAAATAGGTATTCAAAAAAAATCGAATCTGTGTAGTTCCGTGAAGTCCACTGTGAATATTACCAATGGTCTGTAGTGTCTGCCATCTCATTTGAAACACCTGTTACGATAAGCTGGAGTTATTGTGATCCTATTTTAACCGTAAACCGCAGAGAATATAAAATTGGTCGTTGTGTTTTAAATCCAATTGTCTTTTATCGTCTTTTATCGTTTTACCTCATACTAGTTTACATTAAATGCCATGTGTTTATATCTTTTAAAATATTAGCTCGTGCGTCGTCGTTGGAAACACTGGCCTAGTGTGCATCAACGGAAAACCATATTACCTATAATTAAATATGTGGTCCGCGATATGACAATCGATAAACGCTGTAATATATAGTCGTGGCCAAATATGACGTTGTGATTAGTTATCGTTCCGACAGAAATATATTTACGCTATTTACATTTCATAATATAACGATGTAACATTTTGGTCACGACTCTTACAATGGCTGTGGCCATGTGTTTTATACTCTTATACTCTGTATAGGTAGCTGTCATTCGGCCGCCGCCACTGATAAAGATAAACGAAATGAGTAATTTTGTAAACATATTAAATTTTGCCGATTGGTTTACTAATACGCACAATGCACATATAGGCACCGAGAATGTGTGATTAGACCCCAAGACAGTAGTTTGGGGGTTATTTTGAACACAGCGAGTGACTGACATGGATCTTTTCGTTGGGTTGTACTCTATATTATTATAATTTAAGGAATTACGTGTTCGGCCATGGCGCTGCAGCTTCTATCGTTTTATCACCAACAAGCTAGGCCTATTATTCCAATACAATAAACTGCCACCAGAGTGCGGACCCTTCAAATTTAGATCACAATTGAATTAAAATTAAATATATATTAAAAATATATACTACAAATAATATTACTGTGTTTCTATAAGGCCTCGGTGGGGACGTAGGCACTGTATTTAATGATTCAGTGACACACGATTATTCTCAGATTTAATTATGTAACCTAATATATTGTATTGGATATACGTTATTATTTATGGTACTATATACAAGGACGTAAACTATACAATGTATAATGTGTTTGGACTGCATATAGTAAAATAATAATATAGTATATCGCGGTGTAATCAATCCTCTTTGAAGTAAATATAATTCAATCTCAGCCATATGAGATAAAGTAGCCGGATATCAATATTATATTAACATTGCATTTTACCTACTAATTTTCGAAAAAATCTTAGCAAAAAAATATATTCGTATAATCGTCTTTAATGCGTGCTTATGGTAATAATAATAATAACAATAATAAAGACGGGCATACGTCGCACGTGCGTGCATTACCTGTTGTAGGTGGGAAGGTAGGATGCAGAAGGGAATTTAATGTATATCTATAGGCAGCGTTAAACCATTGAAAAACGATTCTGAGCAGAGTTCAGTTGATAGTGATGCTTAAGAATAGAATAAAGAAATATAATATAAAGATTTATAGTTAAAGCAATGTATTTAAATCGAAATTTATTTTATTTTAGTAAAGCGTGGTATACAGTATTGCTTTTTTAACAATGTGCGTTTCCGTGACAACAATGATTATTTAAAAAATATCAAAATAATAAAAACTTAATAATAACAAAAAATAAATAAAACCTATTCCCAATGACAACGTTATTTTTAATCTTTCAATCTTTTTTTAACCTAAAGAAGCAAGTTTTTCTCATTATCTCGAATATTAATGAGAATTTCCAAAAATAATCTTTCTAAAGTATCACTCAAAGAACATTTCCTTTCAGAAAAAGTGCACAAAGCTTTTTTTTGAAATAAAAGTGTTCGCATAAAAAAATAAAACATAATTTTAAAAACAATAAATTCCTCGCTCCGCTCAGAATCTAAAAATAAATTGTATTCATTTATTTTAAACAATTAAGAAAAATGATTATGAGACCTAAACAGTTATAAAACTCGTGTACAGTTATATTTTAAATGTATAATAAGAAATTATAATTCATAATCCGTCTCTCATTGGACACTGTTAATTGGTTGTGACGCCAACCCATTTGGAAAATATCTGTACGACATAATCTTGAAGATTAAAAATTAAAACTGTAGGTATAAGTAGGTATTTAATTATTTTGAAATCAAAAGTCGGTTTGAATTATTTAACATAAAATGAAAGGGTGTTTTTATTTTTTTTTTATACAACTATATGCAAAATGAATATTGAAGTTTTCATAATTAATAATACTATTTAAATACAAAACAAACAAACTTCATTGAAATCTTTAAAATAACATATTTTATTTTAATTTACGTAAAATTATGAAATATTAAATGAATATAAATAGTCAAAGACTTTATGAACTATTCCGTTATCTTTAACAAATAAAATTATAATCCCGTGTTTTGATATAATATTATTTCTACAGAGATGTAACAACAAACAAAGGAGGATCAATATTTCTTGGAGGTGTTAGCAAGAAACATATGAAAACCGACATGGTCTACGTTCCAGTAATAGAAAAAAGTTACTGGACAATAAAATTAGACCAGTAAGTATGCCAAAACATTTATATTTTATTAATATTTTTACACATGTAAATAAAATTGTATATTTCAATATATTCATAATATTAAGGACTGTACTTATATACATATATATATATAAGCTACATAATATAGCTACATTAAATTGAAACCAATAGACAGAACCGTTTTAAATTTTACATATTAAATTATCAGGAATATCGTGCTGATTCTGGTCACCCGAATCACTGTTTAAGCCAACTAAAATATAGATCAACACGGTTATGCATTTTGGAAAATACTGGTTTTACTCGAAAACTTGAACGCCGTCAGTGAGAATATTGTTACATAATATCATGTCGGATACAAAGGTTTTCGGTGTTTTTATACTATTTGTTATTATAATATTTCTACTATTTGTATCTTAATTAAACTAAAATGGCTATTGATAATAATAATAATATAATTCGAATCATTTTTAAAAACAAACAAAATGAAGTTGTGTTATACATGACAATAATAATGCTCACAATAAAATATTATGGTTGTGAAGTATAGTTCAACATTAGCAGTCTCATATAGAGAAGATTGAAGACTTTTGTAAATAAAATATAAAAAAGTGGTTAAGTTTTGTATTCAAGTTGAAGCAAAATTGCTGGTTAAAAAGTTGCGCACAAGAAAGAAAATCGAAAATTTTAGTAATGTATTTCGTAAAGTTTTCCGTTTTTTTTCCCTAATGTACCTCTCTACACCGATTTTCTTACGGAAAGATTGATACACTTAGAAATCTGAGCAAGCCTTCCAATAGAAAAGTTGTTCACAGATCAAAGAATCATCCTTGTAAAACCATAAGCTTCTTCGCTCTACTCAGAATCTAAAAGATAATAATGGTTACTATGAAGTGGTTTAAAAAATTATTTTTAAATTTTTTCTCTTGATTTAAATTTTTTAATCTGACTCGAAATCAGTTAAAAGTAAATAATTAAATTTAGATTACCTACCGTATTATACTATTCCCCATAACCACTAATGAGCTATTTAAACAGATGACACTGAGAAAACAATTTTTAGTTTTAATTATAGGTGATCACTGTTAAGTTATCATTTACAAACTCGTATTAACGTTAGACAAGTAAAAAGATTAACAGAATTTTCGGTTACATTGAATCTTAAGCACTTGACATATAAATCGGTAAATACGCGCATTGTTGTGCTGTTGCGTGGCCATGATGTACAAAATATTATAGAAATCCCTAATAGGCCAGTGTACCATAAACTACAAACAACGATATTCAATTTGACCAAACCAATGTACACCAGTGAACCCAGATCGAAACTAAACATACTTGATATCGTAAAATCACGTATCTAACTACAGAAAATAAAACATTTTATTCAGTCAATTAAAGCTACTTTAAGGGCGAACGCCGTTGTATAAAGTGGTGGCGATTAACACTTATTCCGGTCATAACAAACCAATAACGAATTAGCGCACATCACGAACACTGCTGTAACCTTAATCGAAGTAAAACGTATTTTTGTTTTTGTTTTTTTTTTGTTTTTAGACTCAGTTAGCCGGTATACCTGCATTTAGCCCTTATAATTATTAACCTACTCAAATTAAATATTTATCGAATTAAAACTCTTATAAGGTACGACGATCGATATGCCACAAAACAAAACATACATAAAGTTTTTTTTTTTAATTCTGAGCCCAAAAATGATGTATATTGGTTTTACTACATTGTGTTGTTTTTGTCAAACTACTTCATTTCTACCAAGAATAAATGTTGCTCAGATAATTATTACGAGTATTTTTGTTAGTTTTTATTTGGCTTCATAATGATGAAATTTGTTTGGCTTCTCAAAGTGCTCAATAATTTGACAAGAGTAATTGTAGTCCCAAATCAATACACTTCTTGTTTTAAGTTAATTAAACAATGTTGAACTAAACTTTCGCTCAAAATCGTTTTTTTTTTATTTGTGATGTTTTATCGTTACGTACAAATATAATTTAATTTCCTTTTGTATAGTATCTTTTAAATTCTCTACTTATATTAGTTGATAATAACGAGCACCATAGAAACGATGTGCAAAACACCCGCCATGTACTAGGATTTTTACTTAATGTATCAAGTCGGCAAATTTGTATTTTCCAATACCTCTTTCTAAAAAATAAAACCGTAGTTCAATTAAAGTTGAGAAGCAGATTTCAGACTTTAAAAGTATCGTATGTTATGACAATAATGTTGTAACGTAATGTAATAAATTTTCCAACAAAATTGTAACCGTTTAATAAATATTATAAATATTATTGTAAATTTGTAGATTTTCGATCCATATGAATAAAACATATTCGAAAACGTTTTGTAACCCATCGTGTAAAGTCATATTGGACACGTCTACGAACAAAATTGGCGTACCTCCTGAACAAGTGGTCGAAATAAATAGTCTAATCGGTGCCGTAGAATACAAATACAACAGATACGCGGTAAGTGTAAATGAAATATATGTCGACGAAAACTCAGATAATGTTCCACCGTGCTTACTCAATGATTAGTGAAAAATCAACAAAACACGTCGGAAACATGGAAACTATTGGCTTTTAACTGCATGGCGATTGTTATAACTTAAATAATAAACTTAAGTAATAAAGTCTTAATGAAGAGAAAATTATTTTAATATCTTATTTGATGCATATCTAAAAAATCGATAAAAAAAAAAAAAAGAAATTGATGATGTTTTTTGTAAATAGCAAATAGTATAAGTTATGTTAAACCTATCGTTTATTTTTTTGACGAAAATGTTTTGAACAACAAATAGTCTTAACAAAAAAACAGTAGCAAATTATTCAATTTTTCTTTGTTAAGACTCGTCCCATTCTTTTTCATCATATTCTTCCTCCACTATATCATCAGGTTCTTCGTCATTGTCGTCCGGGGCATCAACTTCATCTTATCTTGTATAAGTGGGTCTGCATCATGCATATTGCATGCAAAATAAAATATTTTTCTATTAAAATAGCATAGGCATATTTAGGCACCTAGTCTTCAATGTTCTTAAAATGAGGATATTTACAATTAAACAAAAAAAAAAAAAAAAAATGCCGGTATACTCCATGAAATAAATCCAAAGTAAAACGAATGGAATTATTTATTTACTTACGTACAACAGAAAAACCTATCACTTTGTTCTACGGTTAAAAACATGTATAGTGTCTATAAACAAATAAGCCCTATGGAAACAAATAAGTTATATGGATAGGTATTACATAATATTATGTTGTTCAATAGTATCTATCATAGACATCATCACATTTGTCTTCACAACTTATATTAACGAGTCACGATAACGCAACGTGATACACTATTTTGTTTCGTATCCGCTACGACGACGATCTGATGCTCGACAACAAACGCCTTATTGAACTTTGTGGATTATCAATAAAAACATTTTGACGTTAGGTTTAGATATTCTTTTAAGTCGGATACTCTCAGGCACAAAACATTTTTAGATATTCCGTACTTTTATTTCGTGTGGACTTTTTTCGGCTTTTTGGGGCGAAATACTTGCATGTGCGTCGTCTAATTGCAACCTATTATGTTTTCGTATTTTTTTACAGGTAAACTGTTCGCAAGTGCAAAAATTGCCGACCATAACACTCAGGATCGGCAGTCATGATTTCGATATACATGGACGGCATTACATACAAAAAGTGATATTGCAATATTTTAAACATTATTTACATACTTTTAGTACTTTACAGTGATTTTGATCGTGTGTTTATCTATTTTTAGATGGAGACTAAGTTCGGTGAATTAATATGTCTTTCGGCGTTTTGCAAATCAGGTGTGACCGGCGTTTGGACATTGGGTGGCGCATTTTTATCGAGTGTTTACACCGCGTTCGACTTGGGCAACAATCTCGTGGGATTTTCTAGTTTGATAAACACGAATCCACGATAATACTCTTCAAAAAATATTTCGTTATCCATTTCGTTAAACAATAATATCTACTTACCTAAAATTCATTATTTTTATTGGTTATATCAGTTCACACTGATACAAAATACCTACGTAAAAATGGTAAAAACAATATAAATATTAAATCAGTAAAGAAAGTCTTTATTTCTATGTATTAATTTATATCACAGAGAAAATTAATATTCGTCGAACAATACCTATTTTTTGGAACCAAATTTTTTTCAAAACTGTTGATAGCTTAAATTGTGTATTTTTTAAAAGATTATGTATAAACAAAAATAATTCCTATTGGGGACGGGTGTGCCACGTTTGTCTGTGAGAAGTTAGGAAGATACATAAAGGACATATAAATTTATTTAATTTATATCTATAAACAATGATTGTGATTTAATTTTTTGTATCTTAGGCGTTTCACATCTGCAATTATTGGTTTGTTCTTATGTATAGTTGAAAGTATCTTTAAGAATTTCTCCATTGAGCAACTGTTCTAAATATTTTGCCTATCTTTTCGCTATTCCCACCTTTGTTATTATAAGCTCTCCATCATACCTTAGACCTGACCTAACCTAACCTATCCTGCCTCTTATAAATTTTTCGTGTCTTTTATATCTATTCATTTTTTACAATTTACGAATCATAAAACGGAGTTTTAAATGTGTACAGACCGTGATAGAATAGTACACATAACTAAATTTCAGAAAAGTCGTTTAAAAAAATTCACCTCGGCGACTTGATTAAGTATCTTAAATAATGACTTTAATTACTTAGGTCTCATTTGTCCGGGTAAAATAAAAGGTAAAATAAAGGTAAAGTACAGTAAATGTAAAGGTAAAGGTAAAGTAGGTAAAGTACAACGCTATCAGGTACCTATCAAGTTCAAAATGTTGATAAAACCTAATACTGTAAGTTGTCAACTTAGAACATTTCTATAGTTATATCATGGAACAAAAAGTGTACGAGTATCAGATGAGTATAGGTACATATTTTTATCACGGAGTCTTTCTGAATAAACGAAATGGCGTTAAACACGTCATATTGGACAGAGGCATGATAATGCTATTGTAAACATTAAAATTGTATAATACTATTGCCGTACCAATAATAAAAACACTCCCGTTTTTTTTTTTGAGTCATAAATAGCTTAAACTTTGTACATACATTATACGTATTGTTATTATTATTATAACTTCTATTGAATCGTGTAGAGTAGACGATGCCAGGGAAATTTAAGACGGGTAACATCTGGGTACACCATCTGTCCCAACGACTCCGGACTTTTTAATATTTTCTTTACATTATTATAGCGGGGTTTTTTTTTTTTTTTTTAAATTATTCCGTCGAGTTTCAGTATATTAAACAACCGCTTATTAACTTTATTTCTGCAAAACAAGTGTATATTTTAAAGGACGTTTATATTATTTATATATTTTATATATTAATTGTTATTCCGTTCTACATTAAACGAAATAGATTTTTGTTATTATTATTATTATCAGTTTGTCAAACAAATATACTGCGCACATTTTTAGCGAATTTCGAATTTTTATTTACACTATAAAAACTATAATAATTTTATTAAATTTCCATAATAACGGTTTAAGTATAGCATAGCTTCGTCATTTTTTACAAAAAAAAAACATGCAAATTTCTTTTAAATATCGATAAAATGAACATTATTCTAATACTATAAGGCAAACAAACTTTCAAAAGGAAAATTTCTATAGGTAACCACAAGAAAGAATAATGTTGCAATGTTAATTTGGACTCGAAAACTTATTTTAATTTATAACATTCTATCTGAGAAAAAGCTATTGCACGAACAAACGTTTATTTTCATTTATTTTATATAATATAAGTATATAATATAAGTATGCACATACAACAACAATTTTGTGTAAGTTTTTTTTTTTTTTTTTTTATTATTAGTTTGACCTATTTAGACATAAAAAATAATGTCATATTCACTTATTACTGCAGCGTTCGTGGATTATATCCAAAATAGTTGGCATATTTATCGCTCTAGCGACACGAAATAATAATATCATTATGCAAAGCGCTTAGGAATCGGTAAAAGTTAAAATACAGAAACACAAATTATATTTGTTTACATCTTCTTACGATCGATGGCGACGACATTGTGGTGGTTGTCGATATTTTGTACCATCGCTCGTGTACGAATTATAACGCGATTAACAAATCGAATTATCACGGATTTCTAAAATTACACCCAAAGAGGGTCGATTTGTCAGGATTTCATCGTATTCGTTATTTTAGTTTTATTTTGAGTTGGATAAAACAGTAGAAAATAACCATAACATCGGTTAATGATCGAGAATCGAGGAATACACGATATTCGTGTGTTCTTCTAAATTTTAATCACACGCATTGCAGTTTTCGTTCAGAAAGCATAAAATATATACACATATAAATAATTAACATAACTATTATTTTCTGTTAATCATTAAATTTAAGATTCCTAACCTGACGTACCGTTTAATTGCAATATTCATATTTTATACGGTTTTGATAAACCTAGGTTATAGTCTAACTTGAAGGATATCAGGATCGTCTTAAGTAAGTAGGTGACTACATGAATCATGGCACTGAAGCACTTCCACCACCAAGTTGAGCCATTTGTTATTAGGATAAATATGTAAACCTCATTAGTTAAGACTTAAGAGGATGTTGAACGTAACTTTTCCGTCTCTGACTATCTAATGGGTAATATTATAACAACAATGTGGATTCAAGCTTCCAATCCTACTAAAGTCAAGTTGTTCGAAGAAACTTAATTTTTTTTTTCATAAAACTCATCAAATTACTAAGCTTTTATATATCAGTTTTATTTCTAGATCTGAATATGCCAATTTTACAGGATTTTTTCAAAATATTTTAATTGACAAATTTTAAAATAAAAATAAAATCGATTTGGGAAAATCATTTCAAACCACTTAAATAGCTAAAATAAAACAGCGCTTCGCTTTTTATTATTTTTTTTTTTTTTTTGAAAAATATTTAAAATTAATAAAATCACGTAAAAATTACCATAAACACATTGTGTTTTTCGAACAAATTCAAAAACTCTCAATGACTCTACACACAAACAGTACACTCAGTGGTGTCCATGGTAGGTGTCATTTCATACGCAAATACTGAATTACTATTGTAATGGGTTTGCTTTGCAAAATTATCTTTATTGCTTGCTAACATAAATAATAAACGCACTAAAACTAGCATCCAACTGAATAGTTTAAAAATCAATAATACTGTTATCGAGTTCGGAACATTTTTTGTAACCCTACACCAGGTCGAATCGATTGCTTCAAAATGTTTAAGAATATCTACTCTCAAATTAATTTGTAACATGACGGATACACATCAATCGATTAATGATGAATAATAATATTCAACTTCGAGGATTATAATATTAATAAGTTTGAAACATAATAAATTATACTATATGCACGCGGCATCGTTTTCATGCGTATAAATTCTACCGGAATCTCTATAATATTACGTATGGGCACACGTCGTAATAATGCGTTCGTAAAATATGTATACATATCATAAATTAATGAACGCGAGTTTCTCTCGAAATACAATATACCCTGTGTTACGTCATATTATAAAATATTAAATAAATAATAAAAAAAAAAACAAAAAACGACAGCGTAATGTTATGATATAGCCTACGCATAAGATGCGGTTTTATAGAATTTTTTCCCGTACGGGATCCCTTGTTCGACAATAATAATAATTAAAAAAAAAAACCCCCGAGAGCAGCATAGCTCCATCACTGGAATCAAATTTATCCCCATTCGAGTTATCAACGTTAAAATATTTTCTTATTTTTTTAATAATAGTTAATCTGAATATAGTTATGGTTACAGAGTTTTATTACATTTTATTATGTGTATGCAAACCGGTATTTCTTGTGAAAAAATGAAATAACATAAACATATTTAGAGAGGGAGTTAAAAGCCGAAACTTCCAAAAGTCACATCCTTGATACTGACACCGTACATATACAAAATGTCCTTCTCTTTAATTCATATGGGGGATTATTGGTCGTGTACAAATCTAAAAATAAAACTCCTCTTCCCGCAACAACATGGTGAAATTTGGCCAAAATGATATAATTATTTCAATTCGCCTGTGAAAAACTTTCCAAGTTTGAGTTTATTTGTTTCAGAGGGAGCCATTAAAAGTGCAAAAAAGTAGCCGGAAACACAAACACAGTGCAATTCTATCTATTTTGGAGGAAAATTCGAAAAAAAAAATAATAATAACAATAACAAAAAACTCTCTAGCCGTTTCTAATGTTTCTGTTCTATATTTATAAATATATATTATGATCGTAAGAATCATTTTAACCCACTATGTCCTCTAGTATCCATGTATGGTAACGCGAAACTTTTTTCACAAAACATTTTACCATAATTTCAGACGTTGGTTTCTCTTTCTATCCTGGCGTTACCATATTGTAACACCAAACATTTCGTTATTGGATTGAAAATCAAAAAAATTATATTAACGGTTTTTTTTTTTTTGTTATAAATGAATTTTAACGATAATTTAAAAACAAAATTGAATTGAAAAAGTAAATTACCTTCGGACCTTATGTTTTAATACAATAATAAAAAAAATGTATGAGCCTAGATTAATATAAAACGGGTAACCTAAGTGGTAACACATGTTTCCACATAATATACTATTTTACCTACATGATTCCCCAAATTTTAGTTGCAGAAAAGATATTTTTTATCAATGTGTTAAAACAATATAATTTCGAAAGAATATTCCTTGACGCGTTGCCAGTTATAGTTTTGGTAGTAATTTTTTTTTTAGACAACAGTTATTATGATACAACGACGATGGCAGTATAATTATATGTATTTAGTAGTTGAACGGATAATTAATGAGCCCAAAGTTAGATTACGTCCATCCAATGGCCTACAACTTATAAAAATGTCAAAAAATTCTGGTTGTTCTAAATTTCTAAAACAGTGCAACGTTCCAAATAGTCCACCATCTATGCGTTTTTGAGAAATACTCCGCCCAGCTACACCATCATTAACCAATGACGTTTTAACCATTAAATCCGTTAACCTAACTATTCTACTGCAATTCGAATATGACGTGTCTGTTCCGTCAGATAAATAATCTCGATGAGCACATTATTTTATTGACCGAAACGTCACAAAGAAATTGTGTGTGGGGTGGTGAACTACCAAATAAATAAATTAGTTGAGTAATAAAGCTTTTTCGAATGGACCCCAAGGTTTTTCAATAAAACTATCACGCCACTGATCTGATAATATAAAACTTTTTTATTTTTCTTGCTTGTATTAGATGTTCAGTTTATCATAATAAGTTGCACTTAGGTTCCGTTAGTTATTGACGAATATTTGGTTTTAAATATTCCACTCGTAAACGCCTAATTGTATTGATGTATGGCTATTTTAATTACTTACCACATTCAAATGACATAAACTCTTCTAATTTTAAAGTCTTTTATTTAATTTTGCTTGATGATTGTTTGTCTGTTACTTTCTTAGGATAAAAATCTTATATTTGTTTATTTGTTGGTGGTGTCAATAATTATTTTTCGTATTAAATTTCATTTGAATGTATTAATAATATAATTATATTGAAGTCAATTAATTATATTAAGTAAACTCTTAAGTAATAGTGAAAACGTAACTGCCTTTTTAATAATTCAACTCCATCTATCTCGGATAGTATTTTCTACACATTTATCGATAGAATACTTCAAACTTTTTAACTTGGAAAAAGATAAACTATTACCACGTTCAGTTTTATTTTTTAAAACATAATTATTTTATCATTTAAAAATTATGAATTATAGTTACAAATACGATTATTTTTTGTTTCTTTTAGTAAATACGCAATCATTTTATGTAACTCTATAATTTTGATTTTATATGGTTCATAATATGCGTGTCCTTATATTATTAATTGTACACAATATACAGTTAGTTAGGGCGTGATCGAAACTACCATTAGCAACCATTTATACAAGGGGCGTCCCTCGAGGATTTATGGTTTTAGGTTAATGGAGTTTATATAGTATAACAACTCCGCACACTTAAAAATAGCACGTTTTAGCCGGAGACTCGTCGGAATGCCTGAGCATACCTACCTACACGCTCAGCAGCTCAAAAAGAAAATAGAAAAATAATCTTGCGGAATCCATTGATTTAAAATATGTATACATATATATTTTTTAATATTCATTAGCTTTCTCAGGCGTAAAAATGGCTTTATATGTAATCGTAGAATACTATGTTTTTGCAGCGTTGTATACATTTCGTTTTTT